CCAACTGCATGAATTTAAGCATGCTACTAGGTTGGCATCTCGGTCCCACCCTTTCACTGTCAAAATAGTTAAATGTAACCTACTCTTCTACTCCAACAGCTTCTTCTCTTGCACTTCCCAGCAGTGAAACATCCTACCTCCTACTTGCTTCCCTCATAGCTTCAAATATTCAAATGTAATGTCAATCAACATCTTCTGATGCCTTGATCCTGATCCCTGTCCTTCTCTATATCCTTTCCTCAAACAACCATATTTAATCTCTGCTAGTGGCATGCACCTGTTGGATCATTGACTGGCAGACCCTTTCAAATATTCTTACACAGTGTTGAATGGTTTTGTAGGCCCCCATGACATGATGAAGTGTCTCTACATTATTAATGTCTGCTCATAAACCAATTGTTTTAGGTTGCTCCACAGATAAAAATCCAAAGGGGGACTTGCAGGCCATGGAACCGGTCCTCCCCCACTTGTCCATCTTTCACGCTAGATATCAGCCAGTGCATCACGGACAATGTGACTAAAATGTTCTGGACCCACATCATGCATGAACCACATGCATCTTCATATTAGCATAGGTACATCCTCTAGCAGGTCTGGAAGTGTGATCAAAATTAAGTCCCTGTAGATATTTTAGTTTTAAGTGAAAGCTAAAGAATTTAAAATTTACTATTTCCAGTAAGGAAAATACTCTGTGGTGTATTTCAAACAGAAATTATATTAATTGGAATCAATTATTTTTTTTTATTAAAATCAATCAAAATGGCTATTTTTGAAACATTTGTAAACAAAAGTTAATTCCCAGTTTTAAAAATCTTTCAAAAATAAAATATATATTTCTGAAATGTTATCTGAGGAAAATTAGCAAATTTAAAGTTAAATTAATCTGATTTGAAATAAATTTTACTTATAGCATAAAAAAAACATTTCTTATCTATGGTGTCTTGTTTTTCTAACATGTTAATCAATTTATCTACATTCAATTGACAGCCGAATATCTACATAGTTATGAATGGTGAAGTAGACAATAAAGTTTTCTTTTTTTTCACTGTAAGCAAGGGACATTGCTTAAAACATGTGACCTTTAAATGCTAGATGTATCAGTTTGTACATCCATACTTCAGAAATTCTGCATGTAATCACACAAACAGAAACAAATTGAAAATCTTTTGAAAATATTCAAGGTCATCAAATTGTAATAAGCTTTATAATATATGATTAATATATATAGTTTTACTTAATAATAATATTTCCTAAGAATTATTTCACTGAAAATGAATTTTAAAGAGATTTAAGAACTTTATAAATTATTCAGTTTAAAATTGTAAAAATATCAAAACAAATCTTGTAAAAATTAATTTTTTGCTAGAAATTTTTTTTTTCAGACAATATTGTCTTTAATATACATTATTCATAAAAGTAATTGAAAGCCTCTCTAATTAAATAATGTCTTAGCTTTATTGCATTTTTTATTTTTCCATTCAGAACAGAATTTCAGTAAGACCAGGTCCGATTTTGTAAAGAAATTTGGTGATTTAAATTCTTCAAAGAATTTTGCTTTTAACTAATATAGTCACTAAAAATTATCTCCATGAATTTTGCAAGTTTTCATAAAATTAAATAAGGGGCTGAAACACGTGTAAAAAAAAAATATTTTTACCAAGATTTTCTAATAAAAACCTTTCAAAAATAATTTTATTCATTTAGGAATAAGTCCTGAAAATTCCATTAAAATCTGACAATTATTTGATTTTTTTTCAAGAATTTCTGAATTAATGTGTCTGTCACCACAAAGAAGAGGCTAAAATGTGCTATATTAGAAGTTAGTACAACTGCTGATGCAAGAAAAACAAGTTTTTCAATCAAAATTTTGAATATTCTAAAAAAGAGTAAAAAATTTAATTAAATAATCAAAAAACACTTTGATCCTTCTTCTTAACAATAATGTAATGATTTTGATGATAAAACTATGTTTTTATTACATTTGGAGCATGTTTTCATCATGGTATGCTGATTTTTTAGTGTTTTCATGGAGGTACCTATATATATATATATATATATATATATATATATATATATATATAATATATACACACATGCTAAACTTGGCATCAAATCATGGAAATGGATCAAGGAAAATTGTCTTTCATAGGGTAGGAACACCTTCCTCTTCTGGAGAATCAACATTAGAAATCTTGATTTCCTCTTGGTTTGAACATCAACTAATACCACCAGGGTAAAATATGCACTTGTATATGTGCACTTGATGAACTCAGACCATCCGATAGCTGATAAGAAAAGTCTTACTTATTCAGCTGGGAGACGGAAGTAAATTATAATTCATCATTGTTGAGGTAAGATTTGGGTTTACTGAAGTCTTAATCTTAGAGAGGAGACCCAGGCAGATTTTTTTCTTGTTGCATAAAACACAGATAGATTTTTATTTTTTACTCTTGCTACTCATTCACTATTTCCATGGAGAAATTTCAGATGAACAACACCAGTTCTAACCTTCATGGCTAAAAACCACCATGACATGCACATTGCAGTGAATAACACTCATTTCCTTCATATTCCCCTGATATTCCCAATTCCCAAATATCCCCCTCATATTCCCAATTTATCAAATGCAAGTTCCACTCAAACAGCTCCTTCCCACAAAACAATACCTCATGAAACCAACTTTCAAGAGTTTATTTCCATGATCACTATAATGTTTAAGTCAACTGTTATCTTCCATTTTCACAAACTCCTTAACATACACTATCCAAAACAATTTATCCAATCTTAACAATATCAAAATAATTACAACCGCATCCATAACTATAGATATGATCAGAACCAAAAATATCCATAACAATAATAATGCTGAAGTAAGTATATATGAAATAAACTGTCACAACTGTTCCTCACATTACATTGATGAAACTTGTAGAAATCTAAAAAATGTGTCTATGAACACAAAAAGGATTTTATACACAACAATTTATCAAATGCATTCATCATACATAGAAATAAATTCAACCACAACTTCAATTTAAAGAATGCCAAACTTATGAAAAGAGAAAGTAACTTACTTAGAACATTATCAAGAGTGTTGCTTATCAAATCTTTTTCAAAATATAAATCTGTGGCCAGGATTTTTTTCAAATATCACCTTTCCTAAAAGAATTAATTCTTTCCCAAGCCAATATACATGACCATAAAATGTAAAAAAATTAAAGAAAAACAGTTAAATTCATAACCTCCAGTTATTTAAAATATATAATATATAAATTAATCTCAAAGTAAAATAATTTAAATACTAACTAAATAAAAAAAAAACAATTCAACATCATTATTTACTCACTTTCATTTATTAGACACTGAATTATATCGCTTATCATCTTCCATAATTTTACTTTTTAACTTTTCAGTTAAACTAATGAATATTTATGAGTCTCTCTTAAATTTAAAAGAAGACTGACATAACTTTCACTATTGTTTATAAATACTTGTTGCAAAATAAAATTGTTATGGACAAGCGAATGGTTGTAAGAAAGAAATTGACAACAGCAGAAATAGATTTACGTGATTTATTTCAACAGGAACGTTGTGGTAAAGTTCATAAGCCAGCTTCAGATCTAGATTGATCTCTCATAGTAGTTCACACATGTTGACGGTGGTTGATGCTCCCCTGCTGTCAGCAGCTGAACGTGACAGGTCTTTACCCTGGGCACCTGTGGACTGCCTGTTGAACTTCCGTGTGACCCCTTTTATAGTGTTGTTTTATGGCTTAACAGGCTCAAAAACGAAGCAAGTATGATTAGGAGGGAAGCATTTTTATTGGACGAAAAATAGAACACTTTAAATATTATTTTATTTTTCGACCGGAACTCGAGTGTCGGGAACATTTGTAAATGAAGATAATGGTCATTTTGTGACAGGGTTTTGTCCTGTTCACATCCGGCTCTCGCTCTTGAGTATTTGCCTATAAATCAGCCGAGATATATCTTATTTTATTTTATAACAAAATCCTTACATTTGCCTTGATAAAGTTAATCAGAGGATGAAGATAAGTTATCCTTTTGTATTTATTCATATTGTCCTTTTACAGGTATATTTCAGTTATGCCTGTAATTTTACATATATATATATATATGATGGACTCTCTTGTCGTATTCGACGTATGAGGGTCAGTTCCTATGAACCACAGCCAGACACTAGCACATATGATTTAATTATAGTGGTGAAGGCTTTGTGCAGAACCAACCACACTTTTTGAAAGGTTGAATACAGAGACCTGGTGAACTACATGCCACAAGGCCCCCAAATGACCTTCAGCAGGTTTTGGATTCAGAGTTGTCCATCTCCTAGACCAGTTGCCATCCAAGGCTATAGAACCCAGTCTGTCCTGCTATTTACCCATAGCTAGAGGGAGAAGAGGATTAATACCTTTCACAAGGGTATTAGCATATAAGTGAATGTAATGGATTTGAGTGGAATTCAAACTCAGCTCTCCAATTCCTCAGTCTGAGCCGCTATCCACTACTCCACCATGCCTCATATATATATATATATATATATATATATATATATATATGAATATCAATCAATGAACAGTTGAAATGTTTTAAATTCACAGAAAAACATATTATACATACTCTCAGACAACTTAACCCCCTGAAGATGGTCTCAGATGAGATTGAAAGTACTTTGGAAAATAAAAACTATATGAAAGAAAATTTTGATATTTTTTACTCAATTTTCTAAGTTTACCAAAATAATTAATCTGTGAACTTGAAAGGATCACAATGAAAACTAATCGACATATGTCTAACCAAACCTTTTTGAAAATATATATATATAAAATTAACCCACAGCTTTGGGGAGAAGAGGTGGATTCATACCTTTCCCCAAGAGTATTTATGTATAAATGAATGTAACACACCTAAATGGAACTTAGCTCTCCAATTTCTAATTCTGTACTGTTATTCATTACACCACCTGCACATTTAAGTTTATAGCACCTTGTATCCCCAAGTGGTCACCCATCTTGGTACTGACCAGGCTCTACCTTCCTTAACTTTGGCGATCATCTGAGAACCAATGTTTCAATGTGATATGGCCGTAAATCTATAGTAATAAAAAAAAAATATACATTTCCAATGCCCAGGGGAGGACGCTGTCAGTGATGTTTTACCTCCATGATCATCAGGGGTTTTGGTTCTTTCATCACTAGACAACCTTCCTCGGTTAAACGAATCATGGCTGATCAGAGTTCTGATCCCATAAATGGATATCACTTCATACTCTTTTAATTCCTTTTTGGTAGCCACATCATGTTAAAACACTGGTTTCCATACAGTCACCCTAATTAAGCAATGACAAGCCTGGTCAATACCTAGATGGGTGACTGCTTGGTACTACCAGGTGCTGTAATCTTGGATGCTCAGGTGGTATAATAGATAATGGCTCGAAATTGTTAATTGGAGAGCCAAGTTCCAGTTCCAGTTGGGTTTGTTCGTGCAAATGCCCTTCGGAAAGGTATGAATCTACCTCTTCTTCCCCCAGCTATGGGTTAATTAGTAATATTTAAATCAGTAGATCATTATTATCTCAAAAAAAAGAAAAAAAACATTCTTACAATTTAAAAAATATTTTCTGGCTTTAAATAACTTGCAAAGGATTGATAAGAAAACAAATCAATCTTTCATTCAAATACCAATTAGCTACACAGGCATGACTTTTAGATTTATTTACATTCTCTGGATATATAAATGAAAAGAAACAGCCGTGGCCAAAAAGTGGGGACTCAGTTTATATATTTATTGCAATATAAAATTGATCCTCCACTTTATATCGACCTTATAATTTCTTGTTTGTTAATCAAATTCTGATTAGATCTGCATCCATTTCCCCCCCCAGCTATGAGTTAATTAGTAAGACTTGTATCACTAAACCATTATTATCTCAAAAAAAAAAAAACATTCTTACAATCTAAAAATGTTTTCTGGTTTTAAATAACCGAGGGTTGATAAGCCATAGAAAATCAATCAATCAATAAATCTTGCCTTCAATATGTCCTGTCAGTGTCAATTTTTCTAAACCTTCTTTTCTTAATTGTAATTCGCATGCTGGGATCCCATTTATTAATTTTATACTTAAATTTTAAATTATTTTTAAACTCTCTCCTTATTTGAACCAGCAGTTTATTGCATATTGAGAAAAATTATGACTCCCCCAACCGCTGATTTATTACCCACCCCCAATGTATTATGCACCTAAGTGTAGACAGATATAAAAAATGTGAACAAAGAAGGAACACTGTCAGTTTCACATCCAAGTGTGATCTTCAGACCATATATATTTGTGTGTATGTGTTGTGTGTGCGTGCATGTGTTTTACACTGATTGAATGCAACTAACATCCTCATCCAACCCACATGACCTTTGACCTTTCCTTTGTCTGCACATGTCACTGGGAAAATATTTATCAAAACGCCAGTGATGGTCTCAATTTTTGAGGAAGCAATTTCTTCCTCGTGCCGTTCTGCTTTTAAAGGTCACCAGATTTTGGTGAAGACACTTTTATACAATTCCATCCCCAGACCTGAGCCAGCAAAAATCCTCCACTGTATACCAAACACCTAAATTGGTTTATTTCCCCTGTCCATCAACACAGCCATCCTGTTCACAAGAGGATAGATTGATACAAGATCGGCAGATTTTTCTGTTCTGACACAGACAAAGCTCAAATGTTGTTATATCATGAAAAGTTTCCTTTTAATTTTTTTTCTTTTTTCAGAATGAGCTGATTTTTTTTTATTTCCCATGTTTACTTATCTGAAAATAGTGCAATTAATTTGATTCTATAAATACATGCTAAAGTAGTTTTTACAAAGCAATAAATGACTTTTACTTCCAACACTTTAATAATATGGCTTGACCATCATTAAAAATTTTTTTTTTGTCATTTCACCCCAAGCAAGGTGTTAATGCCACTAAGATACAAGGAGCTATTGGAAATGGAAGAGAACAAGAAGAGTTTAGTAAGGATAAAAGACAGTGAAAGAACAGGTTTCAGGAAGATAGAAGATGGTGATTGGTACTGCATTTAAATTTTTGAAGATTATAGGTAGCAAGGACGTAAAAAATCAGAAGAGTTCCACAGTGTAAAAAAAAAGAAACTACTAGAATAGAACTTGTGGTTATATTTCAACAGTAAAACAGTAAGATGTAGTTACCAATTTAGTAGTACACTTAAATTAGTTAATGTCACTAGAAATGGAAGAGAATGAGAAGACTTTTATGACGAGAAAGGACAATAAAAAAATGGGTTTTCAAAAGCCAGATCAGACCTAAAATGGAGTACTGCTGCCATATATGGACTGGAGCTGCCCAGTCTTCATTTTACAGTCTCAATAGAGCCAAAAAGCATCTCCGCTATCCTCTGCCTTTACAAGAGCCAGATCATCTCATATAGGGACTATCCTCTTCATTTTACAAAGAGCAAAAAGATCTCAGACTGCCTTTTACAAGACAATGGACTACTGCTGCCATATTTGGGCAGGAGCTACCCAGTCTTCATTTTACAGTCTCAATCGAGTCCAAAAATGTCTTCACATGGGTGACAAATTATTTTCCACCCTGCAAACCCTTTCTCACAGACAAGATGTAGCACTACTTCCATGGAAAGTGCTCAGACAAATCACTCACATTGTAATGAACAACACTCATTCCCTCAATATTCCATTGGTGAGAAGTTCCACTTGAGCAGCTTCTTCCTGTGAACCACTGTGCTGTGGAACTAACTCCCAAGAGGATATTTTCCTGATCGCTACAACCTTAATCTGTTCAAGTTTAGAGGGTAACTGTTATCTTCTCCACCAATCTGTAAAAACTGTGCCTCTTACTCTGTAAAACTCTACATTGAGTGGCTACCGGGCCTCATGCAGGGTGAACCTCACTGTATTAAAAAAAAACTGTACAAGGAACCAACTGTTTTTCCAGTGCCTTTAGCAGTGGACAATAGATATGAGTTTTGTTTGAGTAGATAGGTTTGCCTATCACTTGGTTCACGCTCCTTCTCCGTCTATTGAACAGGAGTAGAGGTTTATCCCTTGTTTCTTGTTTAGGATTGGGTTTTCAGTTCTTCTTAAAGTCTTCTCATTCTCTTTCACTCTCTGTTGCTTCTTAGTGGCATTATGGCCTTTCTTGGAGTGAAATGATTTAAAAAAATAAAGTCAGAGGTCAGTGTTGTTATAGACAAGCATATGGTTGCCAGAAAGAAATACAACAGTAGAATTAGATTTACGTGATTTATTTTAATAGGAATGTGTGGTTTTGGGACAGCTTCCTTGTGGTATAGATCATAGGCCGACTGAAGATCTGGGTTGATCTCTCATAGTAGTTCTCGCTGGTTGGCGTGGCGCTACTGCTGCTGGCTGCTGCTGACCGCTCAGCGTGACCGTGACAGGTCTCTTCCCTGGCCTCCAGTTGACTGCCGTTGTACTTCCATGTGACCAGGCTCGTAAAATGATGCGAGTATAATTAGGAAGGAAGCATTTTTATTGGTCGAAAAATAGAAACACTTTAAAATATTATTTTATTTTTCGACCAGAACTCGTGCGTCGGGAATATGCATAAATGCGTAAATATGGTCATTTTGTGACTGGGCCTTGTTCTGTTCACATCTGGCTCTCGCTCTTGTTATATGTTAGTTTATTTGCCTGCAAATCAGCCGAGATATGTCTTATTTTATTTTATAACAGTGTTTAACTACAGCCTACTGAAACTGTAGATAAGGAAGGAACACTGTAATTGTGTTTTGCCAAATTTTCAATCACTAACAAGAATTTTTTAGGAATGAACTTTTTTTTTTTTTTTCAATATTGTGCTTCTCTCCCTTGCCTGATGTTAAATGCTCTGTGCTTTTGATAATTTTTTTTTAATTTTCTTTCGCATATTCTAGATGCCCTCCAAGAAGCTGAGCTTGCCAAGAAAACACGTGACCGGGCATTTGACGAACGTAACAAGATTGTCCAAGAACGAGAGAGTATAAAAAATCTTTGTGATAGTTTGCGCCGTGACCGTGACAGAGCTGTAAGTGATTTGGCTCAGGCATTGCGTGACTCAGATGAACTCAAGAAACAGAAGAATGAAGCCTGTCGAGAGTTTAAAGAACTCAAGTAAGATTTTTTTTCTTTATCATTTTTGTTTTCTCATTTTTCCTTTCCTTTTTGCCTTTTTCCTCTTTTCTCTCCCATTTTTTCCTCTTGTTTTTCTCTTTCTCTCATTTTTTTCCTTAGTTTTCATTTTCTTCTCTTTATCGTTTTCAAAACAAGATACTAATCAACATTGGGTTGGGTACACCTTTGTATCCCCTAATAGTATTGTTATGATGTTAATTTGGGGTTAATAAAGACAAACGCCAAATAACATGTAACAATAAAAAGGGGTTTATTCGGTTGGTAAGTTGGTACAGAAATCGCCTGAGTAGTCTATAACTAACTCAGCCCAAGAACTTCTTCCACTCTGTCTTTTGACATGCCACTATTTAACGTCCTTGTTTGTAGACGAGTTCATCTTCAAGAGGGGTGGTAGGTTCCTACACAACAAGTATATTTAACAAAATATGAGGCCCACTCTGTGTCTTTTGCAAATGACTCAAAAATCTTTCTGGGTCTTATATATGAAGTCAAAGTATATGCTAAATTAATATTTACCCAGGTACCATAGGTTCTCAGGTATCTGTATCTCACCTATATCCATAATGGTGTCATATATCCTTAAATGCAATGTACCAATTATTTTGGCGTATTACAGTAAGGGCTGCGTAGATGCTTTTGAACTCTATTGAGACTGGAAAGTGAAGACTGTTTAGCTTCTGGCCATATATTGCAGGGCCATGGGCAGTACTTTATAACCCTCACTATCTTACCAACATTTGCTTTTTTTCTACTTACATTTATATACATTACAAATTAAACTAAGCACAACTGACTATTATTAAAGGATGAAAATTTTTTGCAGATTTTGATGTCATTCTGGGGTTTGTTTTTTTTTTTTTCTTTTTTCAGCCAAATCTGAATTTTTTTGTTTTATTTTTTTTTTATTTTTTTTTTTTTTTTTA